ATGCACAAAATGCTGTAATAGTCCCATCAAAGTTGTACCTATTTATCTACTTGCATTTGCATACTTTCAAACTGCTAGGTGGGCAGAAACTGGAGCAAGAACGGGAGCTTATCCCATCACATGATACTTGAGTCTCAACCTGCCAATATTCCAGTTAACAAGCCCAGCGTCTTAAATACTTGGCCACTGTGCCTTACTTTATTAGTAAACTATTGCCTTGTCCCTAAATACAGCTTCCTAATCATGCCAGGAAATATGGCTTGTAATTTAAGGCTATAAATGCAATGTTCATTAACAAATAACTTTTTTTTCCATTATGCCATTTTTCTCCAGCTTAGAAACAACTTCATACTGTGCTCTTCACACCAGGCTTTGAAAATATTCTCTCCCTCCCTCCCAAAAAATAAACCCAAGCAATAAACCAAAGATGTTTTCACACTGTTCAAAGAACAACTAGGCAATGAAGCATGTAAAAGATACATGGCATTTGAATTGGAATGCAAAATACTTGTTAATGACCATAGAAAAATGTGGTTGATTCTCTATTACTTAATGACATGCAATTTGACAAGTCAAACAAATCCACCGCTATCATACTGCATTACATTTGAAACTGAGTGCTATTTACATTTCATTTCATTCAGAATTAGACACTGGGCAATTGAGGTGGAGAGTATTGTTTTCTAAAAAAGGGAATTCTTAGCCAAAGTGTATAATCCATTAAAAATGACATCTTCTTCATTTTCATTACATTCAGTGAACCTTAAGTATATAACTAGGGACTTACGTTTCAGTGATTTTAATAGTAATTAAACACACTTTATCTTAACACTATTTTTTTTTAAAAAAAACTCTTTATGAGGTGGAGTTGGTAGTGTTCTCTTTGATTAGTTGTTCTCTTGAAGATTTCTTAGCATTTTTATTATCTCTTCTGAATTGTGTGTAAATGGGATTTACCCTTATGTGTCCATTGATGGCAGATTTCCCTGAATGCTAAGCTTCCAGGAATTCCCTAGCACAGAGATGTCAAACACGTGGCCTGTGGGTCGGATGCTGAGCATACCCATCCCCAGTTTATTGAAGGGGAAAAAGTTGTGATACATCATATGACAACAACATGATGCCACAAGTTTGATACCCCTGCCTTAGCATTTTTGGATTTGTCTAGGATGCTCATGGTTTCCCAGTTGAAACTATGGTCGAGACTGTTCATGTGTTGTAAGATTAAGGAGTTTTCCCTCCAATCTCAATTGCAGTCTGTAACCTGGGGGACCTCCTAGGTTTACGACTCCTGCTTGACGAATAGGTGACAGTTGTGGCTTGGAGGACCTTTGCACAGCTTTGTCTTACGGTCCAATTATGCTCATTCCTGAATCAGCAAACCCTGCTTAAACTCAGTCATGCCTAAGTTATTTCCAGATTTGGCTACTGTAATGTGCTCTACATGGGGCTGACCTTGAAGAATATTTGAAATCTTCAATTGATACAGATCAAGAAACAACCAAGGAGAAATTTATACTCCCATCAACATTGGCAGACCAAGCTATGTCAATAAACAGGGAGCAAACCCCACACTCATTAGCACTGATGTTACCTAGTCAGGTAATGAAATGTCTGCAAGTGAACAGCCAAGCTATACTGTATATATTATCTTCTATTGGAATCTTTATGGGGTATTGATTTAAACATAGCAGTAATGAACTATTGTCTTTTACACTGTCTTGGAATGCCTCAAATGAACTAGCCTACTTGGCACTGGCAGACAGAAACACCAGTTGGACTCAAAAGAAATTTAGTTTACTTTGGAATAATGAGCCTTCTACTCTACTGCCAAGTAATTGTTTCAGCTAATTACGGAGAGAACAAATATTTCGCTTTCTTTCCAAAAGTGATTTTGTTGATATAATTTTGAAATTAATAAGGAAGAAACTACATCTCTCTGCCTGTAAACTAATAGTTGCATCTCCAATTCACGACACTGCTCACCTGTCCTTTAAGGAACGTGGAATCTGCTCAAAGTTCATTGGGCGAGTTCGAAGGAAAAGTTGCTTTAAGATGCAGAGTGTCATTAAATTATTCTTTCTAAAAAGCTTGATTTCTTTCAGTGGAAAAGCAAGATTGCTGCAACTGAGACCATACAGGATGCCTATTTTTTTTTATATCAGCCCCTGAAGCTCATATCTTTGTTCCATCTTCTTGCCTATTTCCCCCATTTTTATCTGTTTTAGCTATTTATGGCATTTCATGTATCATTTACATCCCCCCCCCCATGTAGCTTGTTATGCTACATAATCCTAAAAGCCAGCTTTATTATTGAAATAGTAGGCTCCCATTTTCTAAAAATAAATTCTAAGAATTTGTGCAACCACAAGGAAAATGATAGCGGAGAAATATATTTTTTAAAAGGACAAACAATATTATGTTGACACTTTTGACAGCTGTAAATAAAGCCAAAGAAGCAGAAATATGTAATGCTACTTTCCTTTCTTGATTCTGACCAGTGCCAGAGATGTTTAGAAAACGAACATCATGAGACTTGATAATGACAGTGAGGCTCTAACCCTTACATGCACAGAAGTAAACAAAATTAGACAAAGTGTCATGAATAAGAAAAACAAGAAATAAGAAAGGCAGGTATTGGTCTTTGATATAACTGCATGCCCAATAAAAATGATAAGTACTAAATAATGAATATTTATTTCATGTTACAATTGTTTGTGCCTGATATAAAGCATGGTTATGGGAGTGAGGGTGTGTGTGTGTGTGTGTGAGAAGCATACCAATGAAGCTTCCTATCAGCTCTTCTATTTATGCTAGTCAATGGTTAACAATAGCCAAAATTATATATGTTGGGCAAATATAGTGGACCAAAGGAATGTCTTCGATATAGTTTACTTAGACTTCAGTAAGGCATTTGATAAGGTAGACCATAACCTACTA